ACAAAAGCTTTCATGAAAAACTCTTTGAAGGCCTTTTGCTTCATTCAACCGTGCAGTGGTAATTCTTTATCTTTAATGAAATACGTGAAACCAGGAAGAAAAATATTCTTAAAATGAGCAGTGATGTTGACATTAAGGGGGTGGAGAATTCTCAGGACTTGGAAATTAGGGCATTAGATTGAGTTTGTCCGCCTATTTCCTTCTCTTGGGTAAGCCATGCTTATCTTTCTCATAGGGCTGGTTGTTTAAGATGCTGAAAACAGTGTTGCCTATTTTAGAGAGTTACTGTAATCCGTACAGTGTATGTAATACACCGACTTTTTATGGATTTACTCTGTTAGACCAATGTTTACGTACTTTTTGACGATACAGTAGCAAAGTGTAGCAGCTTCAAAGGTGAACAGCATCTGTAATTACAACCATTTCAGCTTTCTGATATTATTCCAAGTTTACCTTTTGTCTTATCTCATTTCTTCTAGATGCTTTTTGTCAGTTCAGTGCAAGAAGCTATTATATCATTAATACAGGATTGTATCGTAGTAGTAGAGAGCAGATAGGAGTAGTACACTGCTTATGCTCTAGGAATGCTGTAGAATTAATATTGTTGATTTAAAAAAGAAAACCAAAAGCAAGCAATAAACTTGAAGAACCATTTTTCTGTCATGATTAGGACTGCTAGCTTGCATTCTTTCAGTGCCCAATATAGATTTTGCACTCTACCTACTCTGTGTAGGCTGTAAATGTAGGTTACACTTTTAATACAGTTAAAGGCATAGGTTACTAGTGGTTTGCCCATTTTCTGTTTGGTTTGGTTCAAATGAAGAATGCTCCTGGCAGTCCTGTCATATTAAACTTAATTCCAGGAAATTAATTTCTTAAGAATTTTTGAGTTCATACATCCTTTATGCTTTGTCTTGGTCAGTTCTTTAGCTCAATGTCTTCTGTTGTCTATTGAGCATCCAGTTCCCCATAGGAGAGTGTACAACTTGAGAAAGCTTTAGTCTAAGCCTGTGAACACATTTTCACCCCTCCTTGCTGTTTCAATATTGATGTGATTTTCTGGTGATAAACTTTTTCCAGAAATAGATTGAGTATGCAGGCAGTTTGAGACCTCTGTTCTTACAGTGGATTGTTCTTTCAGAAGTTTAACCTCAGAAGTGAAAAATGAGATGCAGATATTGAATTGCATTTAACTGCTGGCATTGGGGTTTGGGTTTTTGGTTTGTTTTGGTTGTTTTTTGTTTAGGCTTGTGGTTTTTTTGGGTTTCTTTTGGAGGGGGGGATATTGTGTGTGGTTTTGTGGGGTTTTTGTTTGTTTGTTTGTTTTTTGTGGGTGGGGTTTTTTTGGTGTGTTTTAGATCTTTTGGTGGGGTTTTTTTTGTTGTTTGGTTTTGGGTTTTTTTGGGTTTTTTTGTTTGTGGGGTGTTTTGGTTTGTTTGTTTGTTTTGGTTTTGCTTGTTTGTTTTGTTGGGTTTTTTTTCCCTTAAGGGTTATTATGACTGTTGGATGATCTGTTAAAGAAAAGGCATGAGTAAAACTTATCTCAGGAAAGGTCAGGAAGATAGTGATGAGGTTCATTCATGGTCTTCTAGAGATACTTAAAACCTGTTCTCTAGCGTTTGTGTTTAGATTTGTCATTTGCATTTTCTCAGTCTATCTTTTACTGGTTCTTAGATTTGCAGGGTAGGGTTTCGCACAGCCCTTTTATTAGTGTGAATAAAATGATCCTTTATTAATATTTATGGAAGATATAAATGACAACATGCTAAGTGACAGTAATTCAGGACAAGTACTGTCTTGTTTATTTGCATGTTTCTTACTCTCAAGTCCCTCATTAAGACCTATAATAATAGTCCTAAAACAAGTTCTAAAAAACATGATGCTTCTGTAGTAAGAGTTGTCACATCCTGATGTGGTGCTGCAAAAGGTGTGCTTTAATCAGATTTTCTTCTAATTCCTCATGTGTATCATGAAAAGACAAATAAGGGTATTATGCTTATATAGAACAGCTTTATAACAAACATGCTTATTAAAAAACAGTGTATAAGCTTATCTTCATCAGAAGGAGAGCATTGTTGTCAAGATTATGTTTCCCCATGTCTTAGTGAGGGAAAACATTTTGTATTTTTTCATGCAACGCAGCAGGCTATGGTCCGCGTTAACTTTCCTTTGTTCTTTAACTTGGCCTCCTGATTTTTGTTTAAAATGCCAAATTTCTTCTCAGTAGAGTTTTGACTTTGTCTTAGCTTGAGTGAATACAGTATTTTTTTCTATTGGAGACATCATCAGTAATTTTTTTAGTGCAAGAAGAGTGGAAAACACCATATAATGCAAAGGTGAGGTAACAGAACCACTCTGAAAGTGAGATCTGCCTCATCAGAAAATGTCAGTGTCATCAGTATAGTTAAAATGGCAAAATAAAGCTTGTAGGAAAACCTGTAATCTTTTAGTTTCTGTGTTACATAAAGCTGGCTTCACATCTCTGGAAAAAGTATGGTAGATGTTGCTTGTGGAACCTTGTTCATCCCTATATATATTTATATTGCTATTAGCTAGGGATCCCCTAAAGCCTGGTAAGTGTTTGTGGTTATAACAGAGATGGTAACATCTTCCAAATGGATTTAATAACTGTTCTGTGTCCTGTAATTTAATATGTGTCCTCTCGGAGGTATTAGAGTAGTAATCTAGGGAACTTGCTTAAATTCTGAAATAATTGAACTTTCCTTTTTTTTTTTTTTTTTTTTTTGAAGAGCAATTATTTTGCTACTTAAAAGTAGCAACAAGTAGGAAGAGGTTTTTTCAATTTCTCCTTATAGATACAGATACTGGGCTGCTCACTATGTGGTATGTTGTGACTTTTTCTTCACTGAAGTACAAATAAATCTATTTTAAGTAAACTTGAAAATCATCAAGTTTGAAAATCCGATGATCAGATTTTGCTAATATGTATATACACTTTTTAATCCTCATTTTTGCTAGAGCATCAATGATGACAGTCTCTGGAGATTATGGTCTGTCACCTAACTCTCTTTGCTTGTCTGACAGCAATAATCATGCAGTCACCACTTATTTTAACATACCCTCTCTCATTATATACTAGTTCAACCACAAAGTGAACTGCAGTAATTGAAGTACTTAACTCTGACTTCTCAGTGCCCTTCAGAACTTAACTTTTTATTTAAGAAAATATTCCAAAGTGAATATATCTACAGTAAAATGTAAATGAATGAAATGATGGTAAACTTTAGCACAAAATCAGTGAAGCTACGAAGTAAGCAATGCCTCATTTCCTTCCCTGAAAAACAGGAAATACAGGTTAAGACTTTGCCTCCTAATAGGACCTTGTGGGTTTGTCTTTGGTTGATGCCTGTGTGTCCGTAACAGTAGCGCACTGTTAAATCCACCCCTGTTCATAGAGACAAACGTTGGCATTGGGTTTGCCGTTTTTGTATTTTGAGAGAGGATGCGAAGGGAAACCTTTATTGGCAAGAACATGGTTTGCCTTGTGGAATGGGCACAATCAGGTGTTTCAAACAAAACCTAGTTTGCTCCAAAGTACTGTTCTGTGTCTAAACACTGGGGACCAAATACTGGTTTGTTTTGCATTTTGTCTTACGAGAAAAGAAGAGGAGCAATTCCTTAACCAAATAATGTAGCAGCTTTTTGACTGCTTTATCCAGATTATTGAAAAGGTGTCATTTCACTACCCTGTTTACTGGAGTCTTTTCTCTAACTACACTAACTCCTGTTGTGCTCTTAAATCCAGAAGTAGGCTCACTGTTCTTCTTGAGTGCTTAGAAATTGCTAGTTTATTTTATTCATGCTGCTGAACTTAAAGGAGCCTCAGGCAGGCGTGTTTATCATGTGTGTTCTATGCCACTCCTGAAACTGGTTCAGGTTCAGCGAGCATAATATGTCATGTTAAGTCACCACCTTGATACCAGTCTGCCCAATGCACAAGATTATTTAAAGGTGTTTAACCTGCTGCATGTGCACACTTTAGTCTGGCAGGAATGTTGATGTCCATTTCAACCAGATAGAAACTTTGCTAGTTGCTTCAATATTTTCCATCTCACCCCCTACCAAATAGTGCTGGTGGCTGGCTCCAACTGAAACTAAACCCAACTAGCTGTGCATTTTATGGGAAGATTAGTCTCGTAGCTCAAACATTAGGCTTATGAAAGGTGTTTGAAGAGTAGTGTGGTTAACAGCCTTCTGCCTTCCTCTGGGCTGTATCTCTGTAATCCTTTGTTTGAAGGACTGCAACCCTGAGTCACCTGTTTCCCCTCTAAGGCCCAGTAAATACCAAGACAATGGGTCAGCATTTTATGTTAACACATTTTAAGCACCTGGTTAACTAACTTTTAATCATAATTATAACAGAAATACCTATTCTGCATAACAGTAATGTAGTAGATTTTAGCTCTTCCCTGTGACTGCAGTGAAGCATTGTGGGTTCCTTTCTTTAAAGGCATTTTCAATATTTGGAACATCCCCCTCAATCCACTAGGAAACCTGTTTAATAGTTTTCATTAATTTTTCATAACATCTACACAGTCAAAATGTATCTGAACATGTGTACGTTCTTACAACTTTTTGCCACTAACAAAATAACTGTTAAAGCTCAGACTCAGCTATTATATGCTAATAATGTCCTTCAAAATTTTTGTAGCATTTCATTCTTCTGTTTCCACTGGTATAATGTATCTCATTTATATGTGTGGCTAATATCTGCTGCAACTTGCTTCAATTATTTGGGCATTTAAATGTTACTTTTTCTTAAGCAGATACCTGGAGGATTCAGTGTCAAGTAGTTGGTAATAAAAACCACCTGGAGCCTGACTGCTGTAGGAAGGGAACTTATGTGTTTGACTTTAATATTTTTCTAGGGGCTGAGCAGGGTTGGGGTTTATATTAGTGGTACGTGGAAAGTGTTAGAGGTGATGATCAAGTGTTACATATTACACTATAGGTTCAGTGATTTATTTTTCTCTTTCTCAGGGACATCATGATAACCTATTTTGAACCTTCCATCTCATTTGAGGGACTGTGCAGTGAAGTTCGAGACATGTGCTCATTTGACAACGAACAGCTTTTCACCATGAAATGGATTGATGAAGAAGGTAAGTCAGTGTAGATCAATTATGTTGTTCAGCTGTCTAGCCTTCTTCTCTTTCATCTTTTCCTTTCCCTCTACCTTCATAAGACAAGCTCATGAAACATAAGTATATTTTTAGAAATAGTATATCTGACTCCAGAAAGAATGGTTAAGCAATGCCTTTGTAAGTATATCTTAGTGAAAAGGCTGTGGTTTCAAACATGCTCTTTTTATCAAATAAAACCTCAGTGACTATCACAATGTAAATTCAGTGTTAGGATTTCTTACGAGAGGAACATACTACTGAAGATGACCACGGTTCCCCTTAAGTCTTAAATCTTTGAAAAAGATCTAAACTAACCTTAAATTGTACAAATTACAGTATTTATCTGAAATATTGATGAAATTTAATAGATAGGTGAGTTGTATGTGTAAGCAAAACCATTATATTTTGAGTGTTTGTATGAGCTGTTACTTTAGCAACCTGAAGTCTATTAACACATAGCTACTAATAAAACTCTTTCAAAATATTCAAAGAGAAATTGTCCAAATGATATATAGTAACTTTTCATCAAAGTGCAGTAACAGCCTTGGCTGAGAACTTTTGTCATCTCTAGCATTAAAGTTATCCATGTAAGAGTTTACCTTGGATGAAAAAAGAGTTGGGAGTCTGTTCTCCCTTCCCCTTAATGGATGTAGTCCAGCTGAGCTGTATGCATACGTTATTAGTTTTTTGAAAAGGTTATTTGTAGTTCCTGTTTTCTTTGTGGAATTGGTGTTTTCTATATGTAGCTTTTGAGCTATGCTGAAGAGACATCTAAATTATGAAATAAATGTTGAGTTATTTTAGCATGCTAAGTACTTGATGCAATACATAGAAGGCCATAATGTGCGGTGATTTGTTGGAAGCAATTAGTATTTGTGTGCAGTGATCAGCATAAATGGTGCTTACAGAACTCTTTCCTCCCCTTCTCAGGGCTTTCCTATTGAAAATTGGGCGACTTAAAGTTAAACACAGACCAGTGCTGATTTTTTCGAAGTGCTGTATGGGCAGACGTGTTGAGGATCATGTACTCTTGGGAACCTGAGCAGGTTTTCCCTCTTTATGTTTTTTTTTTTTTTTTTCTTTGTTCCCCTCATCATTCTAAAGTTATTTATACCAAGCAGATGCAGTAAAGTAAAACAAACTGTGTTTATGGCTGAACTGTGCAGTGGTGCTATTTGGGTTGAGCATTTACTTCATAGTAATAAGTAAATAGTAAATAAGCTGGCTGCTTTTGTTTTATCTCGAGGAGGAGAATAGACTCCTCACTGAAGAGGAAGAGTCTGCAGTGTCAGTCATAGTAAGAAGCGCATATCTTGCCTTAATAAAATATTTGTAGAAAATTTTGTATGGAGTCAATAATTGACTTGAACCAACAGTTTGTTCTGTCTCGGTTTCTGCTCTTTAAGTAGAGATAGGTTTTTAAAAAAAAGGAACATTGCAGTTTGTGAATACATGAAAACAATGTAGTCAGAGGATTTACTTTTCACTAACAATCCATGTTTGCCGTAGTCATTGACTTCCAGTTTAATGTCAGTGGAGAAAAAGTTAATCTGGTGACAAGGAGCATGTTTAAAAAAATCCCCCCAACTTTATTATGAGTGACTCTTGAATCTGCAATGCACGGTTTCTTGCAGAGACCCCTACCTCCTCTCTTCCTCTCTCCCCAATTCTCTTCGGTGTTTTCAGTTGGTATTCTTTCTAGAAACTCATAATTAGCTTTTTTGGAGAGTTCCTATAGCACATCCTCTTTGTTAAGACTGAAGTTTACTGTTAAATAGTAGCATGAAGAAATATATATACTATGGACTAGCACTTGTTACGCTGTTACCTGTGCTTTGCATAGAGCAAGATAACATACAGGGTCTAGGCCATCTCTTCACTAATTACTGACTAAACTGCTTGATGAAAGGTGTGATGCAACTACATTAACCATGTCACCAAGGTTTTTATTTGTCATATGCTAATGTCTTTTTAGCCTTTGCAAGATGCAGAGCATCATGTATAACTGTTTTTATGTCATAGAGGTACTGGCAAACAAAGGCAGATCTGATTTAGTTGAGTGGAATCACTTCCAAAAATGCTCAGATGCAACTGGAAAATAGAACAAACTTGATATGATTTTAGACAGATTTCTACCTTGCCTGTATGCGTTCGGTTTATCTTACCTGTCTTCTAAAATGGCCTGTAGAATGGACACTAGCCTTACATTTGTGTTCAGTCTGTTCTTTCTTGCTGTATAACTCGAAGGTAAATGCTTTCCTATGACACTTACACCAGCTGTCTTTGGCTGCAAAATTTGTACTAGTATTCTGAACTTGTTGAAAGAGTATTTGTATAAACCTTCTGCTTCTAGTTTGAAAGATGGTGTCTGTTCTTGAGAGCCTCCTTTTCTTCTGCCAAAAAGAAACACAAAGCTGTTTGCACAGCTGTCGGAAACAAATGAAGAAAAACTGGTTTGTTGATTCTCATAGAGAGTCTGGATAGATACAGTTGTTCCTTCTCCTCCCCCATGCTCTGTGCTGTGTAAGTTCATGCAGTGGGTAGGCAGTTTGATGTCTAGATAGGCTAAATTGTAGGGGGGAAATAGTATGGTGAAAAATGACTACAACTGGCTTCAAAGACTCATTTTGAGGATTATGACACGCAAAAAAGAATAAAGACAGAATGCTGCAAATGGACAGTTTAAAATTATTGCTAATATTTTAGCAATAGGAAAGTGCATACATTAGAAACAAAAATTAACTTGAACTTCATGTAGGATGAGTTTTAAATGTTCTTCCTGCCTGCTAAATGTGTGGTTCCACTGAAGCCTTAGCAACACCTGTATTAATTTTGGTATCTTGTAGTACAAAACAAAAAGAGAATAGTTAATAGACTGTTCCTAGTTAACTTCCAAACCATGACTTTGACCAAAGACTCAAAAGTCGTAAAACTTTCACATTGGATCTAGTTCAGCTGAGATGGAAATTGTTCTGCCTCCCTCCAATTCAGTTACCCACAACCAGTTTATCAGTTAAGGGTGTGGAAAGTACTATTTCTGATAAAAACTGGAAATGCTATATGAGAGGAGACTTGCCATGTGGGTTTTTGGCTGGAAAGAAGCTTGTTCTGCTGATGTGCTGGAGTACGAGCTGGCAAAGATAAATCCCACACACAACGTTTTGTGTAGGTGGATAGAAGGGGGTAAAGTTGAACTGATAGCCAGAAGTATTTTCTTTTCTTTGGCACAGTGATGATTCAGATTCAACACTTTTTTCCCTGCCTTAGTGCCCTTTCTTTAAGGGTTTTTACTTCAAATAGTCCTGTGAGGGTGAAAGTAGTAGTTAAAAATTGGAAAAATAGGGTGTTTTCATTTAGGTTACATGATTTGTCAAATGCCTTGATTGAGGTTTCAGGAAAGACTGGAGGCCTGACTGCTTTTGCACCTCCTGGTTAAAGTTTTGGCAATGTTGAAGCAGCTGTGAAAACAGAAGTCGACTCAGTCCTAATTAAAAATCCACAAAATACAGTGGAATCCTAGAAGGATTTCAGGTGCAGGAAGATAACCTGCACCTCCTGTACTGAAATACTGCGTAACCAGTTTGTAGCAGACCAAACCAATGATGTTTTGTGATTATGATATGCTTGTCTCTTGGAAATATCTCATATTTTTAGTTTCCCTAAAAATATTCAATATGACTGTATTTTCAGATATTCTCTCTGAACAGCATTAAAAATAAATGCTACCACACTTGAGAATATTGTTATGTTTTGCTACAGTAATTATCTTAGATCTGACTGTGAGAGAAGTGTTGAGTGGTACAGAACTGATTGGATTGAGTTTTGTATTGTTCTCTCTCCTTTCTTCAGGAGATCCATGCACAGTTTCTTCTCAGCTGGAGTTAGAAGAGGCGTTTCGGTTGTATGAACTAAACAAGGATTCAGAGCTTCTAATTCATGGTATGTTGACATTTAATATATTGCTTCTCTTGTTTCTACCTGTGAATAAGTGGAATTTTTACCTTGCCTTATCTGCGTCTTTTGTACAGCTTCCCTGATTAAAGCTCATTGTGGCATTCTGTCAAAGAGGATGCTGAAGAGCACGCACTGTGCTTTTTAGCTGTCAGCACTTCGTCAATGTTCATTATTAAATTAAGGGAGGAAAAAATACTTTCCTGTTAGTTTATTAATGAAAGACAGCCCCCATCTCTTTCATTCCTTCATCCCAAGCGCCTTTGTACGCTTGCTGGCAACAAATGGTGGAAGAGATACAGTACAGTGTCCTAAGGTTTGTTATTGATAAGTGCTTTAGAACAGCACCTATAGTAGCAAAAGAAGTTGGTGAGCTCCACTGGTGATGCCAGATTAGTCAAAAGTTTGATTTTTCTAAAATTAAGTGCTTTAGTTTTGAATCTAATAATATTGTGCCCCTGTTCAATGTGTAATAGTTCAATTTTTATTTTTCAAGGTTATACACCTGTTTCGGTAGCTTCTGCAGTATATTTTTCTTACTGTTTGTACCTTTTTACAAGTAGAAGATAGACATTTGTTTAATAGAGATAATAGCAGAACAGGGGATCACTGTAAAGTGTGTTAGTGGGGGTGCTACACTACAGTGTCTTAATGTGGTCCTTCTCTAAAAGGATGCAAAAAATCTAGTTCACAATCAGCTCATTTGGAAGAAAGAGTCATCTTTTCAGCTACCCACAGACTTTTAAAAAGTGGAAGAAGAATGTAGTCTTTTGCTATATATATTTTCACTGTTTCTGTATATATTACTTTATCAGGCTTTTTGATCTGCCCTTTCTCCATTTATTTTTGTGTCTGATAAGTTTCTGATTAAACTAGCACCAGGGTGCGCTCTGCCCAGTTACACTTCTGACAGTTACTGGAGCTAAATAAACTGAAATAAAAAAAAAAAAGGCTAATGTAGACAAGATCATGTGTAGCTGTTGGGACGCTGTAATATAATAAGTCTATAGTCAAGATTTCAAAATACTGACTGTGATGACTGGTCACATGAGAAACCAGAATTGTTACTTTTTTCTAGTTAATTTCTTTAGGAAAGAACTTGGTTTATTTTGCTTTTTGCTCATATTTCTCATGTATATCATTTTCAGCTCACCTGCTTTTGCACAAGGTTTTGTTAAAACACAGTATGTGCTGAATTCCTAAATGGTTGAATGCCTTTCAGAGGTGTTGTATTTAACCTGAAGTTTTATTTTCTCTCTGAAATAAAAATTAATCAGATGCTAATGTCTGTCTTGCAGTATTCCCGTGTGTACCAGAACGGCCTGGCATGCCTTGTCCTGGAGAAGATAGTAAGTATAAGTAGGCTTTTCAGTTAAAAAGTAAGGAAAATCAAGAATTCAGGTTTCCTGTTTTAAAAATTTTGATATTCTGTGGTTTGGCATCATACACTTAGGATTAGTAATAATCCAAATCTCTGCAAATTAAATATTTAAAAGGAATAGAAATCTTGCTAAACTTAAATGTTGTTTGTCGCTTCTGAATCATTGTTAATAAGCATTTCACATTCCTGTTAATTATCCATGTCACTCTGCTTTCCTTGCTTTTGCCTCTTCTACCGTGACAGTTTTTTATCTTACTCCTGTCTTTGGTAGTTACCAGATTGCTGGCCGAGTAATGTGAACAAAGGTTTGTAACCAATGGTAATGACTTGTTGTTTCACCATTTAATTTTACATTGATGTTTAGGTACTGCCAGGAATATTTTCTGGAAACCTCTTAAGTTACATTAGCTGATATAGGTAATTTCCTGTCTGTTTTAAAGTTTTATAAAAGAGCATGTGTATGTTACACACACATCTGTCAGCTTGACATCCAAGCCTGACAAATGTAAATGTGTATGCTTAAAAGTTAACTTTGGCAGTATGGGTAATGCTGCTTTTCTGAAAAAGTGAGGTTGCAGGCTGAATTAGAAATAAACTTGCAGCTCAGTGTAGTTTTGTATATTCTAGTTTTCAGTTTTGGTTCCTGACATACCTCTGCTAATAAAGAGTAAAAATTAAAACCAAACAGTGGCAGCTGTGGATCTAAACCACGGGAGGATTTGTGCAAGCAATCTCACAATCGGGGCATGCTCTTGAAATTCACCGTCTTTCCTCCTTCCCCCTAGCTGCTCCCCAAGTTTAGCTAATATAAGTGCATACTTTGCACACAAGTGTTTGTATTGTTCGGGCAGTTTCCCTTCTCTTCACTCGCTATTCCTTTTAACTTTGGAAAAGCAGGATTAATTTTGAGTTGATCGGGATATTCTACTTCAAATTTGCTCCAAAACTTAAAAAATGAAAAAGATACTTGGAACATTAGTCTGTGTTTCTGTAAGGTGCAGGAGTGAAACTTTACTCTGCAAATCACTCTACACAGAAACGTCCACGAAAAGATGTTGTAGTTCTGTGTTTATATTTTTATGGATATAATCATATGTTTTTCCTCTTAGAATCCATTTATCGCCGAGGCGCCCGCCGGTGGCGAAAGCTCTATTGTGCAAATGGTCATACTTTCCAAGCCAAACGATTTAACAGGGTGAGATTCTTGTTGGGTACTTGAAACCATGATACAGGGATGTCTTACTTTTGTAATTACAATGTCACTTCCTTGGAAAATTCTAAGGTGGTTTTATTCTCATTTTTGTTGTTTGTCTGTAGTAGCTGCACTTTTGGTAACCCTGTAGTTTCAGGCAACGTAAGTTCCTGATGATTTAGTAATGATTATAATAGGAAAAAAAAATTGCTTGCAATTCATTTTACATATACTATGAAATCATGATATTGATTATATAAAAGCGCCTGTGTTTCCTTAAAGTCCTTCCAGACGACAAACTTGAACACTGGCGTCAGATGGCTGTGAGCTGAAAATACATTTTCAGTTCTTTAAGTTCTGGGTTTAAAAGCGTCTGAACTTGCTTACATTGCACAGACTTTTTTTTCATGGTGTTTAAACTAGAAAACGGAGATGTTTGTCCAGAGAGCCTGCTTGTGATAGCACGTAGTCAACTGAAAATAAAACGCTATTTGTAATATTTACAAGAAGCAATGGTCAAATACAATTAGCTGATAGGTCAAATACAAAAAGGCTCTCTGCTATGTTTAGAAAAAGCAACAAGAAAAAGCAAACCCAAAATATTGAAATAAGCCAGGTTCCTTGACAGCTTCAGTAATCTTTCCTTCCTTTCTGAGCTTATTGTATGGTGTGCTTAATGCTTGAGATTGCTTCCACTGAATTTCATCTTGAGCCTCCTTCATATCTAACTTCTAACCCCTTCCTTCACCCCCTTTTTTTTTTTTTTTTTCTTTTTTAACCTCTTCCTGGTCAAAGGCTGTCAAGGCACCATAGCTTAATCACTTTCTACTCTTGCTTTCATAGGCACCTATTTTCATGGATCTTTGAGTTGTTTTGTGAATGTCCTTCAGTGATCTTCCCATTTCCTATTATCTGGTGGTTTAATGTGTTGAAGCTTTTGCTCTCCTGCCTTCCTCTGTTCAAATGTAAGGACTCATCTACACAGAGAGATGAGGAGATGCATAGCAAATTAGCTTGGTCACAGCAGCCTACCGATTCAGCTGCAGTGCTTCTTACTTGGAGTTGGTTGGCTCATGCCTCCCTGGGTCTGTGTGCAGCCGAAGAGGCTGGCCATGCCTGCTCCTTTCCATGGAGATCAGGCTTTCTGTGTGGCAATTGCTGCTTTTTGTTCAGTTGTAGTTTTTGAACTCCTCTGTATTGCATGTTTGTTTCTCAGGGTTTTCAGATAGACACTCTTGTTATAGTGGCAAGTTCAGCAGGGATCTCTCTGATATCCTATCCCATGGGTTTTGATAATGAAAATGTGGCTAAATAGCCTATCCTATGGGTTTTGATAATGAAAATGTGGCTAAATAGTTTTTATTGTTTAGTTTTGCTCTTTAATTGGTTTTGTTGATTTGTCATTCTAGAGAGCTCATTGTGCCATCTGTACTGACCGAATATGGGGCCTGGGCCGCCAGGGATATAAATGCATCAATTGCAAACTCCTTGTTCACAAGAAGTGTCACAAACTTGTCAGTATTGAATGTGGCCGACATACATTACAACCAGTAAGTAAAATAAAGGAAGAGTTGTTGTCTTGAAAAAGACAACCACCAACCAACCAAATCCCATCTTATGTTAACAGTTTTTGAACTACAGCCTGCAAATGATCACAATAGATGAAACATTTATTATTTTTATGGTTACTGCAACACTTTGCAAGAAAGTTTGGGATTCACATAGCAAAAGGCAGTTTGGCGGCAAGACAGGAATCTAATTTTCACATCTTGTATTTTTCCTGTGTCTAATATAAACCTAGAAGTGATGTTTATCTCATCCTTCGCTGCTTTGTTACATCACACATTATATATACACATACATTATTTTACATCTTCAAAGTGAAGTACAAGTGAAATAAGTTCTCAAAAATATCTGTTAGATTATTAGACTATTTATCATTTTACAGAAAGGAAGATGAAGTGCAGAGGTTTTGTCTTTTCTCCCAAGAAATCCAGTCATAGAATCATAGAATAGTAAGGGTTGGAAGGGACCTCAAGATCATCTAGTCCCAACCCCCCTGCCATGAGCAGGGACACCACACACTAAACTGTGTCGCCCAGGTTTCTGTCCAACCTGGCCTTGAACACCTCCAGGGTTGGAGCATTTTAGTTCATAAGTCCCCAGAAAATTTTAGATGATTACTACTCCTGGCTTATTATTAAAAGCAGACAGCTACAGGTCTACATTTTGTGAAGTCATTTGACTAATAAATGTACTGCTGAAGTACTTGAGCTTTTCTGTCTCATTTCTCATCTGCTGTACATCTTTTCTCTGTTGTCTGAAGTTGTCACTTCACCAGCTTTTGGAAGCGTGTCATAACTTCCAGAAAATTTGTATAATAAGGTCTGCAGTGGTTTCTTTTATTGTGTATGAATTACAGCAGTATGTATGTTGATTAAAAAAGTTAAAAAGTAGCTAGACTATATTCCTTGGGGATCGTTTATTGTCTCTAATGTCTCTTATACTTGGACAGTCTAATACAAAAATCCTGTCTGTATTTGCAGGAGCCAATAATGCCTATGGATCCATCATCGGTGCATCCAGATAGTGTAGAATCAGGTAAGATGAATAATTTTTCTTCTTTAAATTTCTGGAAGTTGCTGAAACATGAACTTTGGATGTTAGAATGAAACAAAATAACTTGAAAATTATTTTTAAAACCGCTC